GCTCTGTATGTTCAAACAGAGAGATTAGGGGCGGAAGACGCCAAACTAATTATTTTTGCAATACATGTAGTCGAAAACCAGGACTGCATATTGGAGACTGCTTTCAAAGATACCACACAATGGAGAAATATAAAATATAATTTTTACATAAAAACATGTTATTGAAACACATTATTGTCTAAACATACATCTAATGTTCAAAAAAGAATTAATAAATCTTGTTTATCCTTCATAATCTTGCATGTTATGTATTACTGCTCTTTCAATGGAAATTAATTCCGACCAGTACGACACCCATGTCCAAATTTAATACGACCGCAAAGGGTTAATTCCCATTAATGCTACAGTATTACTTTATAGAGTGATGTAATAACACTTCTACGAAAGGCTGTATTGAAAAGAACTGAAAGCAGGTACTCAAACAGGTACTCATACACCAATGTTCACAACAGCATACTTGTAATTCCTAATAGCCAAAAGGGAGAAACAGCCCAAGTGTCCATCAACAGATGAATGGGTAGACAAAATGTAGTATATACATTCAATGGATTCAGTCATAAAAAGGAATGAAATTCTAATACATGCTACAACATGCATTAAACTTGAAAACATGCTAAGTGAAATAAAGAATATAATTCATTCCACATATATAAGGTCCCTAAAATAGACAAATTCATAGATAAATGTAAAACAGAGGATACCAGAAGCTAGGGAGAAGGGGGAATAGAGAATTACTATTTAATGTGTCAGGGTTTCTGTCTGGGACAATGAAAGTTATGAAAATAGAGAGTGGTGATGGTTGCACAGCACTGTCTATGTACTTACCGCCAAGAACTGTACATGTAAACATGGTTAAAATGGTAAATTTTATGTATGTATATTTTGCAACAAAGTAACTTTTAAGAGTATCAAGACCTATTTGTCAGGCATTGCTAATTTATTTTCTTTTTGTTTAACCCTCATAACACCTGATAAGGTAGATAGTATGATTATCCAACAAAACAGATGAGGACACTGAGGCACAGTAGTTACATCAGCTAGTAGTAGGTATAGCAGGGTTTCCAACCCATACTGAACTCTGTGGGCTGCCCACTTAACCACTATACTATACTACCTGTCCCCAAAGTGTTATTATATCCCAATACAAAGTAATACTAGAGCATGAATGCGAGTCAACAAACCCGCATGGGCTTAATATAATATTCATCTCCAGGCTGCAATGTTAGTACCTCCATTGCCAATGTAATCCTTTAAGACAAAAGTTTTCTTAGGAAAGGACTAGAGATCATTGATCATACATACATGAAAGAAATTTATCCATCGTATCCATACATGAAAGAAATTTACATTTATAAAAACTCTGCACTGTTCCAAGTGTTTTATGCATTATCTTATTTAACCAAATATAAAAATTTTGAGGTAGGTATTATTATTTACATTTTATAGTGAAAGAAGCAGAGACTCAAAGAAATGAAGTGGAAACTCTAGGTTATGCTGCCAGTGAGTAATGGTGCCTCGACTTGGAAGTGCACTGTCCAGTTCCAAAACCTATGCTGCTTTCTCTGCATCTCCTCTGGGTCTGACCAGTAAAATTCAATGGAAACAGGGTAAATAAATTGTGGTATGCTGCATAACCAGGAAATGACTGGGCTCATGGGCAGATGATTGACATCAATCCTTAACTCAAGGTGATTAACTGCGTGCCTCACTGCCTGGCTTCAAAAGCTCTTCTTTTTCAGACCTATTAGTCCTTAGTCATATTTGCTCATTTGTCCAAATCTGTTGTTTAAACATAAACAAGTTACTTTTACCCAGAGAAACTCCTCCCAGCCCCCACCCTGCGACATGCACACATCTAAGGGAACCAAAAGCACAGAATCAACTTATGGTAATAAACTTGTACAGAGAAAAAAAACACTTCTAAAAAAGACTGATTCAGTTAAATGATGATTCCTTTTAATACACATGCTAACCATTAAAGCAAATTTCATGACTACATATAATGAGAAAAAGAACTCCCCCCATTTGTCTGTTGTCTACAAAATTCAAAGCCATCAAGATTACTAAGAAAATGTAAATACGTTACTTCATACTCTGAATTACAATGGCCACGTATGATAAACAGCCCACATATTCCTGGGGCCATCCATGTATTAAGGCTGCCCAGCTTCCCATCCGTGGTTTGGCAACTGTAGGATTGTTATTCACATCACTACTCTCACACCTAAATGTAATTTCAGTGCATTTTTGTGGGAGAGCTGAAACTTAAAGGTTAAATTTTGTTTAAACATTGAGACCAAATCCACAAATCTTCTAACTCAGGTACAGCACGTAATATAATTACCAGGGAAAAACAGTATTACCTATACCTATTATTTGCTCAGTATTCTATAGTTTGTTCATGAGTGACAATGAGAAAACTAGAATCCTGATTTATTGATTCTCATTCTGGTGCTCTTCCCATTCTAATTTCTTGAAATACCTTAATTTGGAACATAACCCTGGTTCTAAAGAAAGAAATTTTAAATAGACCACTGATGGTCATTTATTCAACTTACTTAGTAGTAAGTAAAAATTACATAAAGCTTAACAGAACTCTTAATCTGTCCTCAAACCGATTTGTTCAAGAATTTTAAAAAACCTAGGTTTTCCTTAATTTTACAACATATAAAGCCTGGAAAATACTTTTCAACATTTCCTGTGAGCCAAATAAGTTTCAGCTATGTTAAATGTGTCAAATACAATAGTTTAAAGAGAATTGTTAAGAGTACTTCATTTAAGGTAATCAATTTTCCTAGTTACCTGAGCTGCAAGACTTTCAAAGTCAAATTAGGAGACACCCTAAACAATTCACTTGTTCTTAAACCCCAGAAAATATACTGATAGTGCATCTCTTCCACATCGATGTTTCTTTCTCCCCATCCTTTCCTTTCTCTCTAAAAATCAGTGGAAAAAGGATCCTTGGGTGAATATTAATGAACAGTGAAATGGTACTTTGGAAGAGACAAAACTATCTAGAACCCATTCTGTACTAACAGTATGGATTTAACTTAAATTACCTTATTTTGTTTTTTGTTTTCCTTGATATCTGTAGCCAAACTTATCCCTGAGGCCCAGCAGAGGGGATCAGGGCCCATGCACCACAGTGTTTCTGTGGCAACCTTCTGGGCCAGTGCGTGCCATGGGTAGGCAGGCACTGAATTTGATACGGCTGCATAAATTACCTTATTTTGTGTAAGGCAGGCATGTCTACCTTGACTGGCAACAAACGCATGAAATCCCCCTTTTGATTTAAGGAAGACTAATGCTTACTGGAAGCTCTAAATTACGAAAGGGCAACTGGGAAAAGTGCAAATAAAAGGAGACAAAGCTATTAAGTTATAAAATTAGAACTGAGATAAAGAACAAAGCTTTTATTTAATAGGTAAGGAACCAGAGGCTTCAAAGGTTGAATGATCGAAGACAATGAGACTATTAAAGGAAAAGAGTGCAAATCTTTTACAGGTTAAGATTTCATACACCACAGACCAATCTGCAGAAAAATACATTATCCTAATTCCCCTTCCTTCACTCCATAGAATGTTTTGATCTTGTTTTTATCTTTCTAGTAGACATCTCTATTGGGAAGTCTTCAGTTTTGGAGTGTGAGGTAATCCTGAAGATCTTTGATCTAGTCCAAATCCCTCACTTGGGGAATAGCGGGATGAAATGTGGTTAGTCTTTAAACACTTTTCAGAGCTTTCAAGTGGAAGAGAAATTTTCAATTCTGTATTATCTCCAAGGATGGAACACAGAATAATTGTATAGACTTACAGCTCATAAATTTCAACTCATCAACTAGAGCTGCCTAACACCAGAATTTGCTTCCTTCATAGGTACATTCCTCAAGGTCCTTCATAGGTAAGTCTCTCTTAGGAAGATGCCCTAGAAGTTGCAGGGAAGATTCCTTTTAATTAACTAAATAATACTACTTACTAATTCCAAACCAAGTAAAGTGTTATATGAAATCTGAGTTCCTGGTTTAATTTAAGTAAGTTTACTTGTGAGGCATTCTCCAAACAAAATGTTAATACAAAGTGTCATCTACCCATGAAAGAGATTAGAGTGTGTTGTGTATATACCTCCCTGATAAAGGGAAGCCACTTACCTGATTCCTCTAAGAACTAAAAAAAATAATAATAACTAGTAATCAACTTGTTAATACAAACAGTGTGTCATTTCTCCCTGAAAAGGACCAATATGTGTATGTGAGAGAGAACATGAAGTGGGAGGCTAATGGGAGAGCCACTTACCTGCTTCCTGTAACAATTGAAAAATACAACTAGTAATTTTATTTGAGATTGCAGCTTTTCCTTCCAGATGATTCTTTCTGGCTGCATTTCCTGCTGTAATCTGGTCCTTGGACTGCAGGAGCACTTTTCCTGGACTGTCTAACAATTCATAGACTTCTTTTGTTTTACCCTCATAGAGCTTTTTACCAATGTTCAGTACTGTGGAAATAGAATGGAAACATCATATTTCAGGAAGAATTTTGCTAAACAGTAAAGACTACTTAGATTATAGGGGTGGGCAAACTTTTTGACTTGAGGGCCACAATGGGTTCTTAAACTGGACCGGAGGGCGGGAACAAAAGCATGGATGGAGTGTTTGTGTGAACTAATATAAATTCAAAGTAAACATCATTACATAAAAGGGTACGGTCTTTTTTATTTTATTTTTATTTTTAGTTTTATTCATTTCAAACGGGCCGGATCCGGCTCGCGGGCCGTAGTTTGCCCACGGCTGACTTAGAATGATGAATCAATGAACACAGTGGTTAAGCAAAATTTTAATAATAAGCTCATCTGCATAGGAGCTTACCATATACTCTAAAGTATTTCCACATGCATCATCATATTTGATTCACACAATTTTGTGAAGAACTATTGCGTAAATAATTGTAGAGATTAGGAAACAAGTATCAAAAAGGTAGAGGTCACGAGTTGGGAAATTGCAGAACCAGACAAAATTCTGAATCTTCTATCAAATTCTGTGGTCTGTCCACTATCAACCTTACTCTCAGAGCAGAACTGAAGAATTAAGATCCATTAAAATTAATGTAAATATACTAGTATTTTCACATACATACAATAACTAACAAACCTAGCTTGCAGGGGCCAGGGTTGGGGGAGAGGGAATGCTTTATTTTGCCTGACTTCTGCTTTCCATGGCAGGTGAGATAGGCAAGTTCAGCCAAATTGGTTCCCGATTCAAGTTAATATGCAAGGGAAGGCACCTCCACCAGTAGTTAGCCACCTGGAAGCTCCTTTCTCTTTCTCAATCCTGCTTCCCAATCTTCTACCCTTAGTAACCCTTTCTCTTAACAGGTGCAGAAAAGTATGAGGAAGTAAGGACAAGAGACTTCAATTTTGCCCTAGCTGGTTTGGCAAAGTGGGTAGATGGCCAGCCTACAAACTGAAGGGTCCCGGTTTTGATTCCGGTCAAGGGCATGTACCTGTTGCAGGCTCAATCCCCCACCCATAGAGAACCCAATTTTGATGCAGGTTGTAAGACCTAGATGACAATCAGAGAGAACAGAAGTTCAAGAACTTAAGATTTCCAAGGGGAGAAATCACTCATTCTCAGTATCAGCATTTTTTAATGTTCATGTGTCAGGTAGTAGGGATATACCAGTAAAGGAGACAAAGTTCATGCTGTCAAGTGCCCTGAGTCTGAGGGCAGCTGAAAATAAATAAAGACATCTAGTAAGTATAGTCTAAGAAATATAGACTATGGGAACACAGGTTCATAGCGGGGCCACCAAACCTAGTCTAGACCTCAAAGAACAAGGAGAGGATTAGGCTGAGATCTAAGGAATGATCAAAATTTAACCAGAAGAGGGAAAGGGGTAGGTAGTGGTAATGAAAAAAGACCATGGGGTGAAAGAATACATGGCAGAACTTCAGTATATTTGGAGCACTTTGTGTGTACATTGTTGCTGGGCAGGGAGGGTAGCAGCAAAGAGTAGCAACAAATGGCAGGAGATAAGACTTCCCCAAGAGTTGGGAAAGTACGTCATTTCCAGCTAGTGGAGTGAACCACAAAACAAACCGATTACAATTTAGCTTAACTGAAGTGGCGGGCCACAGCAGGGTACGTAATTTCGAGGATGAATTCCCATCTCCTGGTATAATGTTTTGACTCACGGACAAGGCTTAAAAAAGGCCCTTCAAGACAGCCCCAGCGTAGTGGTCCAAATTCAATGTCTCATACCTTTCCTAGGACTCTGTAACTGAATTTCTATATCCCCCCAGGCTTTGGACATGCTCTTCCCTGGGCCTAGAATACAGGTTCCTTCACTCCTCATCCTTTAGGTCTGATACGCCATGTTGACTGAGCTTAGACTTTATCCTAAGAACAAACATGTGGCTTTTAAGCATTTAGTAAAATGACAGATTTCTATATTAGAAAGATCATTATGGCTGCTGTATGAAGAATGAAATGAAGAAGGGGAGAGAGAGAGAGAGAACCAAGATGGCGGCATAGGTTAACGGCGGAGTTTGCTGCCTCGAACAACCACTTCAAAAATACAACTAAAAGACGGAACGGACATCACCCAGAACCACAGGAGTGCTGGCTGAGTGGAAGTCCTACAACTAAGAGGAAAGAGAAACGCATACCGAGACTCAGAGGAGACGCAGTGCTCAAGTCAAATGCTAAGGTGCGGAGTGCATGCAGAGCGGGCTGGTGGCTGAGGGCCTGTTTGGCGTTTTCAATCGGGAGGGAGTCGAAGACCCTGAGTTCCAGATCCGGGCGAGTCTTTAGGGACCCAGACTCAAACGGGAGAAGCGGGACTGTCTAGCTTCGGTCGGAACTTGAAGGCAGCGT